CCCGCCCGCTCGCGGTTCAATCCACAGTGCTCCGTTCTACCTGCCTGCCTGCCTGCCTTCTTCGTTTCGGAGCAGCTTCGGCTGATAAAAAGAGGCGAATAGTTATTATTCTCAGCCGAAGCTGCTCCCAAACAACCAGACAGGCAGGCAGGCAGAACGGAGCACTGTGGATTGAACCGCGAGCGGGCGGGCGGGCGGGCGGGCGGGGTGGGGGTGAAACGGGCGCTTCGGGGAAGCTGCGGCGACAGGAAAAGCCACCACCCCCCCCCCGGCTTCTTTGAAGCAGTTTCTTCCTGTGCTGGTGGAGGAGCAACAGAGCGACTGAGAGAGCTGAGCCAGAGAGCAGGACAGGCTTCGGTTGCTTCCTCCCTCCCCTTCTTTCATTTGTGTCCTTGATCCCCGATCCCAGCAGCATTCACCGAAGGCGAAGAAAGCCGCCATTTTTTTTTATTTTTTTTTATTTGCGGCCCGGTAAAGAGTGCTCCACAGCCCGGTACCGGTCCGCGGCCCGGTGGTTGGGGACCCCTGCTCTTAATGGATTACATAATTTGTTACTTATTTGTAGAAGGTAATAAAGTATATGAATGTAGCAAAAATGATTAGTTATTTGTTTATATAATTGGCTAAATGAAAATAAGATGGAAAATATAATTCGTGTAAATGTGATGAAGTTGTGTATGTGAGGGAAGGGTGTGCATGAAATATATAGATATGCATAGTGCCTAAAGCGATACTATAAAGGGGATAAAATAATGGACAACTTAAATTAAGATGAATTTATGAATAACTAATGGAATGATATGATTTGATAAAATTGACAAATATGACAAAAATAAGAATATATGGTAAATGAATATAGAGAATGATTACGAATATGGAGAATGATATAATGTATGAGAATATAAAAAGGAAAATTGGTAACATAATAGGTAATTATTTGAAATTAGAAAAGAAAGCTGTATTTGTGATTATGGTCATGTTTGATTTATAATATAAAAAGCCTGGAACTGAACTGTCCACTTAAATATGTATTTAAAGAAATAAAAATAAAAAAACTATTTGCAAAAAAAGAAAAGAAGAAGATGACAACATTCAACTTCTTGCTTCTAATCTACAGATAGGCCTCGACTTACAAAAGTTCATTTAGTGTCAAAAGTTACAATGGCACTGAAAAAAGAGAGAAATAAATGTCTGCCTCTCCCTAGGATCGAACTCACAGCCTCCTGATTGTGAAGTGAGAGCTCCACATCTAGGCCGCTGCACCACTCAACTTCGGTCACTAAATGAACACTGAGTAATTAGTTTTTACTGATGAAGATTGATCTCCTGCCTCACCTCCGGGAGAGACGGCGCAGGACGAACAATCTCAGCGGCTTAGACTTAGGCAAAAGTGGAAGCTTTTTTTTTTTACCCTTTCCAGTTTCTCAGGAACCAATTCTTCCTTCGGGCCGCTGGTCTCCTCCTCTTCTTCGTCTCGTTTCTTCTTCTGACTCTTCTGCTGCCGCTCTCGTTCTGCGTGTTTCTTCTCCTCCTCCAGCTTTGCTTTCTTCTGCGCCCGCCGTTGCTTGCTGAGCATTTTCTTCAGTTCTTTGGCGGAAAGGTTTTCTGTAGAAAACAGAAATTTATTTTTTTTTAAAAATGGTTTATCGTTTTGACATAGACTGCTGTGTATGTATGACGTACAACCACAATTGAGCCTCGGCATATGACAACAATGAAGCCCAACCTTTCTGTTGTTCATTGAGACATTTGTTCAGTGAGTTTTACCTGGTTTTACGACCATTCTGGTCACGGTTGTTAAGTGAATGAGGTCAACCTGTAAAACATCCCTCTGCCTGTCATGCCCCGTCAGAGTCTGAATCCGAGGAGGAAGACGAACAGCTGACAGGGAGCGGGAATATGGCTCCTTTGGCTGTGGAGGAAACTGGGGAAGGGCAGAGTCTGGCTGGGCAGAGTAGGGGAGAGGGAGAACAAGGGAGAGGGGGTTCAGAGGAAGACCCAGGCTCACCCCCTCTTTATCCTAGGGCACGCAGGGAGGAACGGAGAAGAGAGCAACGAAGATTGGGTGGCTTACGGGGGAGGAAAGGGCCCTGATTCTCTTCATTAGGCACACCTGGGAAGAGAGTTTAAAACAGATGTAGGCTGAGTACGGCAGCTTCTGAGAGCGAATGTGAGTTTATTTTGTGTTGACTTTGGTTATCTGTGTTCCTGGCATCCTCCCAACCGTGTTGAGTTACTGCCGTGCCTTTCATGTCTGGAATCCTTGCTCCTGGCCCTGCCGAACTAATTACTTCGGTTTGACTTGTTTGGACTTCAAGTTATAGTTTGTGTTTACCCTGTTTTGGACTTGATTCTCTGCAGTCAAAGGCTGTTCCTGGGAGTTTTTCTCCAGCCCAGAAGGCAACCAGGGGCAAAGTTGGAGATAATAAAGGGACTCTTATTATCTGACTGTGTTGCCTTTATGCCACACCCCTTTGGGTCATCACAATGCCTGTCTCCAAGTTGCCATAAGAAAGCGGGGGGGGGACCCTGAAGGAGAATATGGCAAATGAACTTAGAAGCACATTCCAAGCTTATCTCACAAAGATTGTAACTCAGGCAACTGAGTATTCTGGGCTCGAAAATCCTCTACTGGAGAATGTGATTGATGTGTTTCTTTAGACAATCTGAATTATGATACACCCAGAGGGGTGGGAGGGAAACAGGGTCATAGGTGATCGTAAATTACGTATCTCAGAGTCGGCTTCATACAGATCATGCCAGCATGTCGCTCCTAATAAATCCTTTGAAGTTATTTTTTTTAAAGTTTGGCTCGAGGCTCATGATTTAATTTAGGGCGATCGCTGGAACCCTGACAAATCACTGCAGTGGGTAAGTTAGCAGCATGGTTGTGGTTCTGTCTTCCCTATTGACTCTGCTGGTCAGAAGGTCGCCAAAGGGGATCACGTGACCCTGGGAAACCACTGCAACCGTCATAAGTACATGCCAGTTGCCAAGCCGCTGAATTTTGTTGATGTTTGCACGGGGATGCCGCAACAGCCGCTAAGTGGGAAAAGCGGCCACAAGCCACTTTTCTCAGTGCTGTTGTTAATTTCGAACAATCAGGAAATGATCTATTGCAGTATGCCATATGGTAGGCTTATCTCTGCCACCTGCCAGCAGTTCGATCCTGATAAGACTCAGCCTTCCGTCTTTCTGAGGTCAGTAAAATGAGGACCCAGATCGTTGAGGGCAAATATGCTGACTTTAGAGAGGACTGTAAAAGCACCATGAGGTGCTATATAAGTCTAAGTGCTACTGCTCTTGCAAGTGAAGAGCTACCTGGACTCTAATTACTAAATAAAGGAGAATATTTGTAACTCTGGGTTGAACTGTGGGTTCCTTGGTGCTCTCCGAGCTGTATTGTTTTCTTGCAGACCTTTCATTACCCAATTAGGTAACAGCATCAGTGCTAGAGGGGAGTGGGGTTTGCAGAGAAGAGGAGGAAGAGGGTAAAAGAGGAGGAGGAAGAAGAGGAGGAGGGGAACTGTGGAGTCCTTGGTGCTCTCTGAGTGTGGTATTTTCCTTGTAGATGTTTCATTACCCAACTAAGTAACATGTTCAGTGTTAGAAGGGAGTGGGGTTTTGGAGAAGAGGAGGAGGGGGGAGCAGGGGGGGAAACCGTGGGGTCCTTGGTGCTCTCTGAGCTTGGTATTTTCCTTGCAGATGTTTCATTACCAAACTAGGTAACTGCATCAGTGCATTGATAAGGTTACCAGGTTTGGGTAATGAAACGTCTGCAAGAAACCAGCCAAGCTCAGATATTCTGATTATTCCCAGGACGCTCTTTGCCCTCTAAAAGACCAAACCTAAAAGCACAATTATCTATTCCTGCACCAACCTGAAACTCTTTTAAATTCAAAACAAAGCGAACGATGACTTTGACATTCTTAAGAGCAAACCAGCTTGACTTCCGGAATTACCCCCTTTGGGAAGTGAATTCAAATCCTGTTTGGAGGAAGCTCAAATACCTGAGTTCACTTCTTGCTCTTTGTTCTCGCTGGCCAGCGGGTTGTCGTGCAGCTTCAAGTAAATTTCAATGGCCGATCGCGCCGCCTTGAAATAAAAGGCGTGTTTTCTCAGCACGTCTTCCAACCTCAAGAGGTCGACGTAGGCACGCAAGGTCATCTTCCTCATGCAATAGGTATGGAAGTCAAACTGGTCATCGGTGATCTCAAAGAAGTGCTGAAATAGAGGAGAGAACACAGGATAACCGAGTGGGAAGGGGCCTTTGAGATCTTCTAGTCCAACCCCCTGCTAAGAATAGAATAGAATAGGAATGGAATAGAATACTGGAATAGAATAGAATAGAATAGAATAGAATAGAATAGAATAGAATAGAATAGAATTTAAAGGGAATGGAATGGAATGGAATGGAATGGAATAGAATAGAATAGAATAGAATAGAATAATAGAATAGAATAGAATAGAATATTAGACTAGACTAGACTAGATTAGAATAAAGAAAGTATAGAATAGAAGGAAGAGGGAAGGAAGAAAAATAGAATTTGAATGGAATGGAACGGAATAGAATAGAACAGAATATTGTAATGAAGAATAGAATAGAATAGAGCTGGAAGGGACCTTGGAGGTCTTCTAGTCCAACCCCCTTCTTATAACAGTTGAGCTGACCACACGGTGATAGTGTCTGATTCTTTTTCCTTTCTATTTGGGTTTTGTTTTTGTGGCGGGGATCCTTATCAATTCAGGATCCTTTTCTTGTAGATCCTCTTTGAGTGGTGAGTAATCGAACACACGTCCATCAGGGCAAGTGGTATAATCAGGAGGGGGAGGAAAATCCAACCTTTCATCAACTTACCCTCTCAATTTCGTGGCACTGTTTCAAGGCTTCCCCGTATTTTCCTAATCTTTGAAAAGCAAGGGCACATTCCGTCTGAAACCACATACACTGCATTTCATTGAGATTCTCCGTGGCAGAAGTCCCTTCCTGGAAAATGAGGAAAGCGTTTTAGAAACAGTCTTAATTTTATTTAATCATCTTCTTTTAACGACCCCCCAGAATCCCTTGCAGGGTGGAACCTGGGCATCTGAATGGAGTTAGCAGAGTGTTTACTTGCCGGATGCCCTTCCCGTCACCGATGCAAAGTTTTGTTCAGCAGATTTATTCTCCTTGTGCCCAGCGAGAGAAATATTTGCCTCTACCTAGGATTGAACTCGCAGCCTCCTGACTGTGAGGCGAGAGCTTCACCTCTAGGCCACCACACCATTCTTTTTCATTCTATTTAAGATATCCGGTAAAAAACACTTCCGTCATCTTGTGCTCCAATAAACGTCGTGATCATCCTTATAGTTACAACTAGGTGTGGGATGCTACTGGTTCGGCCCGGCCCTATAGAACCGGTAGCTCTGAAGAGCAGCAGACACAGAACCGGTTGTGTGTCTGCTGCTGTTTGGCCCACCCACCTGCCCGGGCTCTTACCTGTCCTTTATTTCCTGCTTTTTCAACCTCAGTTGCTTTGCATGGCACAGCTGAGGTTGAAAAAGCAGGGGGAAAAAGTGGCTTTTCAAACGCCGTGCACCCACACACAGCGCGGCTCAGCTGTCCAGGCAGCACAGCTTGAGGTTTTTTTTACATGTGTGCACAATGTGCATTAGGTGTGCGAAGCGTGCACGCTCACACAAAACGTAGTCACCGAACCGGTAGTAACAACCAGTTGAATCCCACCCCTGGTTACAACTCTCTCCATTTTCTAACTTAACAATTGCAGTGATCCACTTAACGGTGGCAAGAAAGGTCGTGAAATGGAGGAAAAGTCACTTCACAACGGTCTCGCTTAACAACGTAAATTTTAGGCTCAATTGTGGTCGTAAGGCGAGGACTACCTGTATTTACAACGCTGTCCGTTTTCTTACGGGAGATTCTTGGGAGATACTTCATATTCTGCAAATTACAATAATACATTTCTCTGCTTTTTACAAACCACACAGATTATACATCTCACTAGATATTGGCCCATCTACACCAGAGGTGGAATTCAGCAGGTTCTGACCAGTTCTGGAGAACCGGTAGCAGAAATTTTGAGTAGTTCTGAGAACCAGTGGTGGAAATTTTGAGTAATTCAGAATACCACCTTCTGACTGGCCCCGCCCCTATCTATTCTCCACCTCGAGTCCCAGCTGATTGGCTGGATCTTCTTTTGTTTCCCTGCATAGGAGAACGGAGCTGGAAAGCAGGTTAGTGGGTGGGGAGGGAATGGAAATTGTATAGTATCCTTCCCCTGCCATGCCCACCAAGCCATGTCACGCGCACCGAGCCACGCCCTCAGAACCAGTAGTAAAAAAAAAATTTGAATCCCACCACTGTTCTACGCCGCTTATCCCCAAATGTGAGGTTTTTAGCTTAGAAAACCAAAGACAACCAATTCCTTTCACAAGGAATTGAACAAGGCTGTAATAAGGGATGAACTTGTAACTTCCAATAGCCGCTTGATAAAGAAAGAAATATTGATTTTCCTACGACAGAAAAGCATCAATGCAAAATGCAATTTGAACGTAATTGCGTGAACTGGATGAACAATAGTATGACTTGAATTGGAGGTGATGTAAAAGAAGTAGAATGCAGACCTTAAAAAAAACAAACAGCAAAGCTGCCAAGCAAGAATCGTTTGCTAGGCAAATACCAATGAAAATAGAAATTGCTTGCACTATATTGTTCAAGTTCATGAATAATATAACAGGTTATGTTTGCAACTATGCCATGTTACTGTCCCACATTTTAAACACTACAAGGAAGCGTGTTCTTCCTAAAAATGTATCGCTACTTCTATTTAGATTCAATTTAAAAAAAAAACAATGCCACTTTATGCTTAATAGGCATAAAGTAAGCCCTAGCTTGATTTTTTACACATGTGCCCAATATAAGCCCTACGCCCCAAAATAAGCCCTAATTAAGATCCCACTCACTCCAGAGTAGACAGGTAAAAATTAAGCTAAGGTGGAGATGTGTGTATGTGTGTGTGTGTGTGTAGCTGCCCTCTACTTACCTTTGGACAGTTGTAGCCAGGCCTCACACACCCCAACACCTGCCTTTGCAGCCCATACACACACACACACACACACACACATATATATACACATACATACATAAGACGGGGTCTCATTTTTGGGGAAACACGGTATATCAAAAGTGAATTTGAGATGAAAACTCGGTGAAAAAGTTTATAACAACAGATGCATTCTTTATAAAAAAGAAAGAAAGAAAATCATGCTTTATTACTATTACCCTTTTGTGATAATATAATTATTTTTCTTTTACCCGTGTGAATTTGGAACACATCTCCTCGGCTTCCTTGACCAAATTGGCTCTCAGCATATATTTTGCACACTTGGAATTGATGAACCTGTCTGCCGTATCCAAGGACTGGGCCTCATCCATCCATCTGGCCGCTTCCTTGAGGTTGCCCACATGCTATATTGGGGCAAGAGAAATCCATTTTCAAATTCATTCCATTCAACAAGGAAGGCGCTACGCAGAGCCTGAAACGGTAGTGTTTTAAAAATCTCCCCTTCGCTCGAAATGTTAGGAGGATAACATTACAGCCCTCTCTATCCTAGGTCATTAGGTGAACAATAAACTCGGAATGTACTGATTTAAAAAAAAAAAGGATCATAATTAGAAAACTGTCACGGCTGACGAATCACATGCGTTAATTGCAGAGCATTAGCGTGTAGAACAAACCTAGGTTTTTCTCAAGAACAAAAAGTGGTATACAAACTAAATCCTAATTCTTCCTAATATTATAGGTTCAGAGGTTACTGGCACTCTAACATCGTGTTCTGTTCTGAATTGACATTTGTCTGTTGGATATATACCAAAATACTCATATATATATATATATATACCAAAATACCCAGAGATATTTTCTACAAGTTCAAATGATTTAATCAATAAATATTCTATTCTTTTCTCTTCTGTCCTCTATTCTCATCCTATTCCTAATTCTATTCTCTAGTCCAGGGGTCCCCAACCGCCGGTCCGCGGACCGGTACCGGGCCGCGGAACAAGCCTTACCGGGCCGCTGGTTGCTGGGCGCCGCCATCTTTTTTTTTGGAAAGCTCACCGGAAGCGCTGTTTCGTCATAAAAAGATGGCGGCGCCCAGTTGACGCCGGTACCGGGCCGCGGCGCCCAGCTGATGTCGGAACCGGGCCGCGGCGTCGAAAAGGTTGGGGATCCCTGCTCTAGTCTATTCTGTTCTACTCTACTCTCTTATTCTATTCTATCCTATCTTATCCTCTACCCTCATTCTGTTCTATTCTGCTCTCTATTCTCACCCTATTCTATCCT